TTTTAATTATTATTTTTAAAGTGACATCGATATAAACGAGGAATTGACAAAAAACAAGCCAGTGTATGTCTCCAAATATGTAAAGGCTATCAGGGAGTGGGTGGTGAACCCAAGGGCTGAACTGAAACCAATAATAGGAAGTCCAAGAAGAGAGCTTGCAAGATTAGACCAGAACAGAGAATAGGCTGGAAGTGGTGAGCTTCCCATCACTGAAGATTTGCAAGCAGCTAGCAAACAATGTCTCTCAGGTAGGTTATAGAGGGGACTCGGTGTCCCGCAGGGGTGGGGGAGAGAGGTTGCACAACCCCTAAAGTCCTTTCCATGGAGCTTCTTTGTGGAGAGTCATGAGCCCAACCTCGTGCGGCTGCGTTGAGACAAGCAATACCCTCGTGCCAAGGATCTTGGGGTGGGGAGTGATTTGGCCTGTCGAGTGGCCGTTGGGCAGACATCCCAGAGAGGGTATTCGGATTCTGATCGTTCTGTTTGAACTCTAAAATCGGAGTTAGGGTTTTTTATAATGAATCAAACGAAAGGCAGCCCCATTTCCAGCCTTCCCTTTGTGCGTGCTGACATTTAATGAGTAAGCCACCCTGCGGGCGTAGAGGAGGGAGGTTGGGCCAGAAGCAGAAAGGGCAGCTCTTCTGGGGACGACAGGGCGCCTGGCAACCCTGACTGCCGCCCTGTGCCCTCGGCTGACAGATGTGGCCGGAGAGGCCCACACAGGTGAGCCTCGCTTGAGGCAACCAGCAGGCTTTTTCCACGTTCCCCCATTGAATTGCACCCCTGGCCTGCTTGGGGAGAGCTATAGCTTCGTTTCTGTCTCCTTCCGAAGGCACCGATAGGTGTGAGGCACTCTCTTTGGGCCTCCATTTGTTCATCTGTGTAATGGGTCAGGGGTTATGAAAACTGTTTATGGATGGACTTCAAGACTTTCGGAAATTTTTGAATTTTGTCTTTGATGAGTTTGTGTCTACTTCTGGGGGAGAGAGAATGCATACGTGCATCAGACTCTCAGATGTTTGAGATTCATAGGTGTATATATATATATATATATATATATATATATATATATTACCTTTGGGGATATATGCCCATGATTACCTCTCTCTTCTGGTGATACGTGGTGTCGGTCTCTCTTCTCCAACCCCAACCAAACGAGGAGGACAACAGAGCTTATTTCTAAATGTCTGTCACCCTATTCATGTTGGGTTTTCACTGAACCCATCCCACATCCACCATGTCCTTGGTTTTCCCGACAGCGACCCTTTGAGGTTAGTGGCAACAACCACAGTGTGACCACCGGACAGACGAGGAAGTTGGGGGCTGGGGTTGACAGGTGACCCACTCACTCAAGGACTCCCAGCCACTGAAGGACAAGAGCTGGGGCCATGGGGAGGACTAAATGTTAACATTGTGTTCAGAACAGTGCCTGCTCCACAGTTCGCTGTTACATGTTTCATGCAGATCAGCTCGGTGACAAATGTCCATCTCCTCCCCCTCCCCCACCTCTGCCCATTTCAAAGGCAGCCCAGCCATTGCTGCGTTTTCCTGCAGCCCAAACAGTGTCTCTGTTCCTTTGTCCCCTCTTTCGGCTGGTGCTGCCGAGGTTTGAATTGGGGTCTGGGTAGCCAAATCCGAGTCTCCCTGCGCCCCGGTGCACGCGACCCCCTGGTAGGAAGTTCAAGCTTTGGGACATACCAGGACCCACGGGCCTTGCCAGGCAATAGCCAGGCTTCTGCAGGACCCGCCTGCCCCCCAAGCCCTCCGCTGTCAGCCCCCATTAGGCTGTTGGCCCGGGAGAGGCTCCCCCAGCTGGGCATCGACTCAGGCAGGCCTTGACCTCAGCTCCAACCCAGAGGAGGAGCAGACCGAAGTGTGGTGGCCAGAGACTCCCGGAAGATCTGGCAACTAAGTGGCTTCTGGTGTCCTGCTTATCAGCTCCTGGCTGTGTCAGCCTCAGGCCGGGGAGGGGCTGAGCAGCCACTGATAAGGGCTTCTCTGTCCCGTGGGCTGAGATCAGTTCCTCTCTTGGGGGGGTACTCAGGGCTCAGGTCTTGCAGGGTGAGGACAGGCAAACCTGGGTTGGCATCCACAGAGTTCCCTCGAAGCTGGCTGAGTGGGTGGGATGCATGTCTGCTGAGCAGAGCGTTTCTGTCCGCTCCAGCTTCCCTCTCACCTTCTGGGGCCTGACTGCCTCTTAGCAACGGAAGAAGCTGATCAACACAGACTATGGCCATGGCCGCCAGATGGCGCCAACGCACACTTCTGCCGCCGCGCAGAGGCCGAGGGAAGCCGGGAGGACTAGGGGTCTTTGTTCTCCGGACCCTCCTCAGCGCGTGTGGGGACCCTCACTTCCCCGAACCAGGGGAGTGAAAAGTAATTCTTGTCTGGATGAAAAGATCCATTTGGTTTGTTTTGTTATATCTTGGGTGGATTTATTTACTCATTGATTCACTCATTCACTGATGAGAACCATACCTAGTCCTAGTACTTACCAGAGAGGAACTGGGGTGGACAAAGAAGGAATAACCCGTATCACTGGGAAACTCTTAGTCTGATGGAGGGCACAGATGGTATGCTGATAAGGAAACATATATTGAGCACCTACTGCATGCTTATTTGTAGCCCACGGGCGTCTCCCCTGTGCCTTCAGAGTAAATCCAGACTCCTTCCTCATTTCATTCCCGCTCTCTGCTCCAGTCACCCCATACTAGCTGCAGATGTGTCCCCAAGGACACCTCATGCCCCTGAGCCTCATCCCTGAGCCTTTCCCCATCTCTCTGAAACTGGCTGACTCTTATCTGTCCCTCATGTTGTCACCCTTAAAAAAAAGTCTTTCCTAACCTACCCCTCCCACCAAACCTGCCACAATTTGTTGAAAGGATCTTTCAGGGGACCAGCAGCCTTGGGGACAGAAGGCAGCAACCACTTCTATTTATCTCTCCTGTGTCTAGATGAGTTCCTGGCACGTGGTTGGCCCTCAGTAGATGGTTGGGTTTACAGAGATGAGTGAGAGAAGGCCATCTCAAAACCTGGCAGAGAAATCACGCACAGAACCCCACCTGGAAGACCAGAGAGGGGTGCCCACGACAGGTGATACTTGAGCTGAGTCAGGAGGAAAAATCCAGGTCATGAGACGAAGGATCTGAAGAAATATGCAGCGGAAATTTCCAAGTGGAAGGGCTGCAGAGAAAAGTAAAATCCAGGACGCCTGGGTGGCTCAGTTGGTTAAGCAACTGCCTTCGGCTCAGGTCATGATCCTGGAGTCCTGGGATCGAGTCCCGCATAGGGCTCCCCTGCTCTGCAGGGAGCCTGCTTCTCCCTCTCCCTGCTGCTCTCCCCTGTTGTGCTCTCTCTCTCTCTCTGTCAAATAAATAAAATCTTGAAAGAAAAAAAAAAAGAAGTAAAATCCAGATGATGAGGGCCCTCCCAAGCTGGGATAGGGAGATGGAACTTTTTCCAGAGGGCAACAAGGAGCCATTAAAAAGTTTTAGGTCGGTGGAGGGATGCGATCATACTTGGGTGTCACATAGTGTATCTGGAGGTAGTTGCTGTGTAACAAACCACCCCTGAAACGTAAAACAGCAGCCATGTATTTGGTTGATGGGTCTGCGGACCACCCGGCAAGTTCCACCGACCTGACCAGCCTCAGCTGATCTTGACTGGGCTCACACAAGGGTCTGCAGCTGTGGGTCAGTGGGAGGCTGGCTGGTCCTCGACAGCCTCTGCTGGCACGGCCCCCTCTGTGGGATGTGCCATTCCCAGCAGGCCGGCCTGGGCTTGTTCACACAGCAGTCACGGGGGTTCAAGAGCGTGCGTGCACATGGGCAGGGCCTCTTGAGGCACGGCATCACTTCTGCCATATTTTACTGCCAAAGCAAGTGAAGCGGCCAGCCCAGACTCTTAATGAGTGGAGCTGCAAACTCAGACAGCAAAGGGCGCTTCTATAGCAAGGTGAACACAAGGGTGGCCATTCAGATGGCTCGCTCTGGCTCCGAAGCGTGGAGGGTAAGGGTAAGGGAGACCAGTTGGGAACCTTTCGCCAGCTCAGCTGGGAGGCCAAGGACAGATCCTTTGCAGAGAAGTGCTACGTGAGTGGGGTTTCCTGAGCGCTTCGGAGGTGCCCAGAACTGGATTAGTCCTGTTGGAGGCTGGGAAGACCGCCAGGGCCAAGAGACACTTCATCTCAGGGGAAGTAGGAGTGAGACTTGGGAAGAGCCTACCTAAGCCGCCCCTGCATGGTTAGGAGTCTGGAGGCTGCAAGAGACCAATCTGAATGCTGCCCCTGGAAGTGTCAGCTCAGGCACAATCCAGAACCCCCGGGGACATTGCTGGGGGTCTCTGCCTGGAGTTACGGTCCTGGATCCATCCCTGAAGCAGGTGTGGCTATATGGACATCGCCCACTAGAGGGCAGCAGAGAACCGCCAGTCAAATGGGTGCCTTTGGCAGGAAGCCCCTGAACTCAGGAGATCAGGACAAGCCCAGAATAGGATTTTTATGAAGTGTCCTGTTCAGGAAGGAAGGATTGCTCTGCAGACTCAAGTTCTAGAGCCAGACTGCTAAGGTTTACACCCCAGCTCTGTCACCAGAGTGGGCTTCATAGGTGTGAGACCCAGAGCCCTAGGCTCACGGTTGCTTTCACGCTCTGCTATTGTCATCTTGAAATTCTTAATAATTTGTTAAAGTAAAGGCTTATTTTTATTTTGCACAGAAAATTATGTACTTGGTCCTGTCTGCCACAGTTTTCTCAGGCCTCGTGTTAACGTTCATGAGGTTGATAGCACGTATTCCCCTCAAAGTGTTGCATGGAAGGAGGGACACTGCACTCTGGCCACCCCACATCCCGTTGTTGGAAGCTGTTGAGGGCCCGGACACACGGAGCAGAGGCAGAGTCCCCCTTGGCAGCTCCCAGGGCCAAGCCGTCCCCACCAGAGGCACCTTCCAAACAATGGTGCACACCCTATTCATCCTTTTCTGAGCCCAAGACACAGACGCTGACTTGGTCTCCAAAAGAATTTATTCCCCAAATTGAAGCCACAATTCCCGCTCCCTGACCTCTGCCTTCCTCCACCAGACAATCCCCAGCCTTCACAATAAGATCCTCTTTGGCTCATAAACATCTTCTGTAGAACACCTCTGTCTGGGCTCCCCAGGCCCCAAGGCCAACCAGGCCCCTCCCATTCACAGCTCGACGTGTTTTGTGTGAGGTGGTTTTTCCGCTGCCCCCTTGGCCAGAAGCTCAGTCCAGAAAACCACTTCCTTGTCTTTTAGCTTCTGGGCTGGCTGAGTGGTGACTCCAATCTGCAGGTACCCTTCCTTCTGGTCGTATGGGGGCCAAGAGGGTAGCCCGTCCCCATTGGGGTTCCTGGGAACAGAAGCAAGTGAGAATTACCCAAAGCTACTGTGGGGTCCCCCAACAACACTTTGAGATTTGCGAGACCTCTTGGTTTCATTTCCGCCAGGAAGCTCATCCACCTCCAGAGGCAGGGAGCTCACCAAATCCTAGGGAGCCTGTCCACTCTCAGAGAACTCTCATTGTCAGGGTCCCAGGGCTGGGAGTCAACATGCCCGGCCCTCCCCCAACCTTCGCCCAACCTTGCTCCATCTTTGCCACTGGGCTCACCCATTCCGGGCGAAGTTGGCCCATAGTTTCATCACCATCTTGCTGAGTCTGACCTCCTCTTCTGAGGCACCTCCTGTGGGGAAGAAGAAAAAAAGCCTTTGCTACTCCAAGCGTGGTTTATGGTCAGCAGCCCTGGACACCTCATGGGAAATCCAGAATCTGAGCCCTACTCGGGATCTGCTGCATCAAAACCCGCATTTCAGGAAGATCTGGGTAATCTGTGTGCACTTTCAGCTCGGGAGTTCCTAATGGAGGATGCAGGGGAGGGCTGCGGTCAGTCCACTATGCTTATACATCCTGCCCTCCCCTCCCCCGTCGAGGTCCCAGTGCCATACCCAGGGGGTCCACCACGGCAACCCCACCTCGGGATTGTGCTCCTTGGGGCCTTTCCTCAATCTCCTTTACCCACCCACATTTCACAATCTGAAAAATAACCCGAGCGCTTAACACCCAGAGGCACTGGTATGTCACAAACAGCCCTGAGGCGGGTCACATGCCTGTCCTCTCTAACTGCTGCTAGTTAGGACATTGGAGATATTTGTGAGAGGTCTTCTTTAAAGCATTATGTTATTAAATATATTAAGTTCAGAAACATGAGTTTTAGGTAGATAGATGGTTGAATAGACAGACACACAGACGCACATTAGTCCGGATTCAAGGTCAACACCCATTCTGACCTTACTCTCACATTCTGACACACTCTTGTGAATGGGCAGTGAGTGGTGGCATTCTGGCCCTTGAGCAGGGCCCTGCAGGTGACCTGCCAGGTGTCTTAGGGATACCCGAGCCCAAATTCTCAGAGACACTACAAACAGGGACACATGTTTATACCTTCTCCATCATGTGTGTCGAAGTAAGAGAAAGGTTGGAAACCTTTGTAGCTCAGCCCTACTCTGGTGTATTTGGTAAGAACCAGAGAGAAAGGGGGACCTGCCCAAGGCCACCACCAAACTGAGACTCAAGCCCAGATCTTCTAACTCCAAGTCTGTAGTCACCAAAGGGCCATCACCTTTCAAAAGTGGGGCCCCGAAGACGGAGAAGAGCTCATCCCCGTGGTCCCCTACCACCATCTTGGGTTTCAGGTCTGACGAGAAGCTTGGACGATACTGGAACTCATACATGTAGGTGGGGGCTCCGGCATCTGGGAAGAGATGGATTCACACACAGTTCATTTTAGCAGACGCACACCTGGATGGCGCTGAGGTCTCCGGGGCCCTGGGTGCTCAGGGACAGGGAGGTTCACCCGGGTCCTGGGTACACAACAACAGCAACATTAATAGCCACTGCCCAGTGACAGAGCCAACTGTGTGCTAGACACTGTGTGGACCTGCAGAAAACCCCCGGTTACCAGCACAACAGAGAAACAGAGCTTTGGGAAAGGTCCGTGATTTGCTTAAAGACGCACCGTTGGTGGAGGTGAAACAGGCTTTGAGGCAGGTATTGAGTGGCTCAATGAATGCAGGTTGAATGAATGAAATGTTGAAGCTGGGGGCGTAAATCCGTTCAAACTGACTATCGTTATGGGGCCTTGGGCCAGTCCCCACAGACGCCGTTGCCTACCGATGCGTTCACACACACATCTATGTATATACTGCTGATGCTCCCACCTTTCACTAGAAACGGCTGGGTCTGATTCCTTCGCAGGCTGTCTGCGGCCCAGCAGGTGCCTTCTATTCTGCCCAGTTTGAACGGTTTCCAGTGTTTTTCTCACCTAATTTCTAGGGAGGAGTGACGCAAATCCGAGATGCTGGTCTGACAGCTATTTAAATACAAACATGGGGAAAGGGCACAATCTGTCTCTTGCATCTCGGGAAACCAAAAACCCAACATTTTCTATTTCTCCATCACCTCGTATCTTGCTTCCTGCCAGGCCCAGAGTGGTGGCAGCAGAGAGAAGGGGGGTCTCTAAGGGAGGACAAAGGTGGCTCTCTCATCCTTTCCCAGTCCCTGCTCTTGGAACCCCCTCTCTGAGCCCCCAGAAGGGGTCAGCTTTCCTGCAGATGGCTTCATCCAGAGCTGTTCACCCACTCCTTCAGGGCTAAGTTGGGGGCCAGCACCCCAGGGAGCTCAGTGCTTTGCATGGACCCTAGCGCCCCACAGAGGAGTGACTCTGATGGGGGGACGGCCGGGCCCCCAGTGGGGCTGAGGGAGACATTGTAGAGCTTTTTGCCCCGTGTGTACAATAACAAACTTGGAAGGAGCAGAAACAATGGATGAACAAAAAGATCACTTATAATCCCACCACTCGAAAACACCTGTGTTCATATTTTAGCATATATCCTATCTATGCATATAAAATGGGATGATGTTGTATATGTCATTTTGAAATAAATGATAATCATCTCTCCATATCATTAAATATTTGTCCAAAAATGACTTAACCATATATGCCATCCCCGCATGAAGATGTGCAATAATTTATTGAATTGCCTCCCTCAGCCCCGTCAATGCGCCCTTGATTTAGCAAGAGGTGTTGTCTGAAAGAAGCAACCCCCTGTGGGTCTGAAAAACACCTGTTAGCAGCTGCTTCAAGGTAAGCAGAACTCGCTGAGAGAAGGGACTGTAACTTCGCTTCCACCACTCAGAAGTTTTAGGAAGGAGCTCCTTGACTTTTCGTGAAGGAGAGAACTTCTTTGGGCAGCGCACTTGCACAAAAGATAATTTTCCTTTTCTTCCCCCCCCCTTTTTTTAGCTTTCTGCCTAAAACCACGGAGATGTATAAAATTCCTACAAGCACAACACAAGTTTCCAAAGGAAAGTAGGGCACAGATTAGGATAACAGGAAAACAGGAGAAGCAGGAAGGACAGAGTTAGTAATCTAAGTATGCCATTGAAAACATGGTGACGGTTTTTTTCTTTCTTTCTTTCTTTCTTTTTGGCAAGGAAAAGTTTATGAAATCGGCAGCATTATCTTTATGTTTAAATCTGAGTTTCCCAAGTGAGAGAATTAAGAAATCCCTCTCATACACTGGAAAGGAATTTCACAACATGATCAGGAATTTAAAAAAGCTCTTAGGGCCCCGCCTGGGAATTTCACTTCTAATAACCAATCCTAAGAAAACTTTTAGAGACTTGGTTAAAGATTTATGCACATAAGGCTGAGCATAATCTTTTTTCTTGCATTAAAATACGGATCTGGCTAGACTAAATATCCAATAGGACAGGAATGCTAGAGTAAATTTTGATGCATCATTCTGTGAAATAGTGGATGTTTTTGAAGACTTTTCATTGATATTGAACAAAGGCTTACAAAATAGTGTTTTATGAACAAAACATGATATAACATTAATTTCTAAGTTATATGTAAGATGTGGAAAGATTATTCGAAGAAATATATCAAAAATTTATAGCAGCTGTTTCTCGGTGGAGGAATTTAGAGTAGTATCGAATTTCTTCTTCACGTGTTCCCACATAATATCCCAGTGTAGGATATTAAATTTATATTCAGAGAAGTTCTTTCTTATCAGAAAGAGAGTGAGACAAATACAAAATGAAAGAATACCATCGATAAAATCTGTGTAGTCGTGGTAAGACTCTGAATTCAAAGTCACAGGATACCAGATTAAAAAAACACAAGTCCAGTAAGGCTGGGGACCAGCAGACAAAGCAGAATAAGATACCACAAATCAGACTTGTATCCAGAGGCAAGACCAAGTTTATGAAAGCAAATTTGACCTCAGGTGGCCCCTGACTGACAAGTTTCGTCAGGACCCTCGAGAGGAGGAAGGAGCACCTGCACTCACTATACTGAGGGCTTGGGAACAGAGCAGGTCAGCTCAGATGCTTTTTCTCATGCCTAGAAAGTCCTGAACTTTAAAACCCTCCTAGCATGGTTAGAGAGAGGTCTGTACCAAGAACCATTTCCTGGCTTGCAGACCAGGTGAAGGAGGGGTCCTGTGAGGACCTCAAAAAGACGCTCAGAAGGGATGCATCCTCTCTAGATGAGCTTATCCATCCCTGATCTCATACTCCACCAGCCTCGGATCAATGTTGGACGGTCCTGTGGTAGGCCCACCACACACCAGGATGGACAGAAGCCAGCAGCAGACGTGGACACTCTCTAGAACACCTGTCTCCACACCTCCCACTGCTCGCTTTTGTTTTGTTTGGTTTGGATTGGTTTGGTTTGGTCTTGGACCAGCCTGATTCTCCGCTTGGCTTCAGTCTACCCCCAGTTCCACTAGATAACAAACTAGTTTGCCCCTAGCTCTGATCTTGGAAACCTTCCAAGACGTGTCTTCTAAGACTTGCCCTCTGGGCCCAGAGACCACAGTGACGTCAGGGCAGGAGCCCCTGTGGCAGATGCTGCTGGTCCCTCATCACATCCCCAGCTTCTGGGCACACTGGCTGGACTTCCACCTCTGGCATCCGTAGCTCTTTGCCTGAGGTCTTTGGCCACCAAGTGACCATTCTGCCCAGGTGTGCAGCAAGTCAGAGCTCCAGGGAATTAATAGCCCCTTGGGAACCGGCTTTAACCCATGACTCCTGGGAGTGGGAGGCTAAATACCCCAGCTCCCTTGCCATTGGCACGGAATAGCCCTGAGACATAACTGGAGACATGACACCTCACAGTGGATACCTGCTTACTGTGCAGCTCCGGTTGGCTTCCTTCTCCTTTCTGTGCCACTTCTCCTCTCCTCTACTGGTGTGTTCTGGGATCCCTTCTCAAATAAGCTCCTTGCATTCAAATCCTCTTTTCAGAGTTGCCTTCTGGTGGACCCAAAGTGAGACGGTGCCCCTATCCCAGGCCATATGGGATTGGCCCTGGGGGCCTGACCCTTGGCGGTTTCCACATATGTGTCTATGCTGAGAAGTGGGCAGGACAGACAGAGAAGCTGGTGGGGTCGCTGTCCCTCTCCTGTCCAACCTCTGGGACTCACCTCTGTGGTGACGGGCCACAGTCACAGATGGGACACCAAATACCAAATCTCCTAACATGTCCAAGAACAGGTCCTTGTTTTTGACAGGGTCATCTGTCCCTCCTAAAAACTTCTCAGTGGCCAGCGAAGTCAGATCCTCAGGGATTCCCTGAAATGGACCACAAGTAGAAGTGACCCCTGCCCTGGGCCTGGTGAATGATGCAGCTTCTAGAGCCCAGGATGGCTGTATGAATGGTGACTCTCTCCAGCCCTATGCAACCACCCCCCGCCCTGTGTGTGAGGGGGACAGAACCCTCCATCCCGGGGCTTCACCCTGCCATTTAATTGCTCAGCGATTTGGGGCAAGTCTCTGTCCCTCTTTGGGTCTCAGACAGTTCCTATGGTTCCCTAGTCTCTTACAGCAATGGGGTAGGACTTCCACAAGAGTGATGCGGCCGTCTTCTGGTCCAGCTTGCCCTCAGAGAGTGGGTAACCCATCATCTGTTAGGACAACAGTGACACAATTGTGAATCATCAAGAACTAGCAGAAAGAATCAAACTTACCAACAAACCACACCAATACAGGCTAAAGGTCACTTTGTCATGACTTAGACAAGCAGGGGTCCTTGACGTGTTGGGCAAAATCAGTGAAACAAATGGGCTTATATTATCCAGAAACTCAGGCTGTGCCAAAGGATAAAGTCAATGTGAAGAGAAGCTGTCCCAGGACTTTGCAGTATGTATGTGTGTGCATCAGGCAAGAATCCCCACCCTGGACATGGTGACACACAGGAAAGGTTTAGGCCTGGCTAGCGTTGAAGCAGAGGGCTCTGGGGCAAGGAACACAGACCTTACAAATACCCACACTTGTCTCAGATGACCTGGGAAGCCCCAAATCCCGCCATTATGGCTTTGGTCCATCAGTGACCTCTGAAAGTCTGTGAAGTGAGAACAGCAGAATTCTGCACCTAACGCTCCATCCGAACCTCCACATCAAGGGACTTGACCAAACTCTAGCCTTGGCTGCCAACAACTTAAGTTCTCATCCCAGGAATGGATGGGGAGAATGTCCCAGTGCCCCTTCAAATGTTTGCCTGAGAGAGCTCCTGGCCACCAGGGGGAATTTACCATTTGTTCTGGCCAAAACCTGGCGATAGGGTGATAGGTCCCCGAGCCCCCTCTTTGAATGGCTACTTTAGAGAGCTTGCAATCACAAATCCTTCTCTGCCCTCTGAGATGTAAATCTACCACCCAAAACTGTTTCCTCCAGGCCTGGAGAGCCAGCTCTCGAAATGCAGACTTTCAGCCAGGAAGCCTTGTCCTCTCCCAGGCTCTGTGGGAGTGGGAAGACCTGGCTCCGGGGGGCACCTTGCGGCAAACTGCCCCACTGCCTTCTGTCAGAGACAGAAATGTGTCTGCCCAGCGATCATCCCCCCAGGCCCTCCCGATGCCCACATTTCAGGATTCTTATATCGGAAGGCAAGAGAGTGTTTGGGGAGAAGGGTCCCCAGGTGACACTTGGGCCACCCTAGAGAAGCTCCCCATGGAAATGTCAACCTGTGTGAAGGGGACAGCTGTTCTGGATTCAGAGGGGGGTCCGGAGAAGGAGGAGCCCTGCAAGCAGAGATGGGGGGTGATGCGATGGGTGGGGGAGGAGAACCGAAGGGGACCCCACATTCTCACCATTGGAAGAAGCCAGCCAAACTCTTGCTTGTTGATTCCGATGATGTAGGGAACAGAGTTGAATTTCTTTTCAGCCAGAATCTCTTCAGGCATCTTTGGCAGCAGAACACCATCAACCACCGTGGGCAGGAAGGGGTGATTCTGGGGAGGAGGGCGTCGTGGTGTCCAGGCTTCCCTTCTAGAACCCACACGCACGGCCCCCTCTCCGCCGGCCTGAGCAGGAAGCCAGCACCCCAGACCTGCATGGCCACGGGCAGTGGCCACAGAATTCAAGCTCCCGAACAAAGGGGGCCAAGTGCACGTGACCCCAGAGGGCAGAACGTCGACTTAGTAACTAGCAGTGGTAAGGTGATGGGGGCAAAACTCACTCAAATTGAAATACACAGGGGTGTCTGGGTGGCTGGGTCCGTTGAGCAACGGACTCTTGATTTTGGCTCAGGTAATGATCTCAGGGTCGTAAGATCAAGCCCTGCATTGGGCTCTGCACTGAGCATGAAGCCTTCTTAAGATTCTCTCTCTCTCCCTCTCCTTCTGCCCCTCCCCACCACCTCCCCCCTTGTGTGCCCTCTCTTTCTCTAAAATATATATATATGTATAAATATATACATATTTTCATATATACATATTTTAAAGATTTTATTTATTTATTTGAGAGAGAGAGAGCACAAGTGGGGGAAGGGGCAGAGAGAGAAAGAGAAGCAGACTCCTTGCTGACACGGGGCTCGATCACAGGACCCCGAGATCATGACCCGAGCCGAAGGCAGACGCTTAACTGACTGAGCCACCCAGGTGCCCTTATTTTCATACATTTATATGCATATAAGTATACATTAAATTAAATATAAATGTATTAAATTTATAAATATATAAAATAGATAACTGTGTATATATTGAAATTTATAAACATATGCATTTTATACGATTTTAATATAAACACATAAAATATATATATATGTACATATTTCTATATCTCAATTTGAAGTACATGTTTGCCTATATGATCTCTAGCTACAGTCAGTTCTTGTATCCATGCTTGTTCCGTTCTATAAAAGCCGCTGTGAACTCTGAACTAGCAAGTGCTGAGCCACTGCTCCTGGGGGAGGTACAATGTCAGGTTCCTGCAAGTATCTGGTCACATTTTCATCAGCCCTGTTTTATGTGTGTTTAAAGACACCCGATGTAACATGCATTGCTCACAGAAAATGAATTATGTGTAGTGTTTATTTATAATAAGACACCAGCTGAGAAGGGCTCACCATTCCCTGGGCCCTGGGTAACGTGCCTGGAGCTTCCTTGACCTTCAGCCTCACGACCATGTCATCTGTGATCCACTGTCATCTCACAAAACCTCCCGCAGCTTCATTACACACTAGATGTTACTTTAGCGCTTGCCCGAGCAGCCTCAGACGGACTGGCAAGTTGCGTCTTCCTCTTCCTGCACGGTGGCCTTATTGATCCATTACCACTGAGCTCACGGCCCACAGCCCAGTGAGCCACCTTGAATGAAGCTGATCTAACACTCGACTTTTCTCCACAAGGCACATCAGAGTCTCTTGCCCTTAGGAGCACGGGACAGCACCTTAGCGCTGTGCCCACGGCCATTTGCAAAAGTGAAACCAGCAAGAGAAAGCACAGAAATGCGGAAAATGTGGCCCTACGTAGACCGTGCAAAGGACACATGTTAATAGTGTGAGACATGAGACAAGACGACAGAGGGTGGCCATGTTTGATCTCCAGCGAGAGCCTACGCATGGTCACTCAAGCTTTTTGTCACTCTGTGCGCATCCACGAATGATAGCAAAAGTGTCACGAGCATTGATTTTGGGGTTACACATACATTTTAGTGAGTCGATGAATTCACAAATAAAGAATTCACCATTAATAAGGATCGACCGTATTTAGCTGTCTCTATTTAAACAGAAGCTGCTATTGGGGGCACCTGGGTGGCTCAACCGGATAAGCGTCCGACTCTCGATTTTGGCTCAGGTCATGATCTCAGGGTCCTGGGATTGAGCCCCTCATCAGGCTCTGTGCTTAGCGTGAAGTCTGCTTGTCCCTTCTTTTTTTTTTTTTTTATTCTTATGTTAATCCCCTACATTACATCATTAGTTTTAGATGAAGTGTTCCATGATTCATTGTTTGTGCATAAC